CCCCCACCCCAATGCCAGCCTCATTCTACAACAGTGGCATTAAAAAAAAAAGGGGGGGTGTGATGTCTTGATTATGTGGCCACTTTTACAGAAAAGACAGGTTACCTTTCACACTACTAAAACAGGCGCGGTATTGGGAATGAACTTGTTGGAGATTTCTGTCTCACACAGTAATCTCATCCATACAAATACCAAAATCTGATCACTGCACCTCACAGTAAAGGCACAAACCAAACTGATTCCTCTTTATGAAAAAGCACCCAATCCCATCTTTCTAGAAGACCGATTCTGTACGAGAATGCGGTTAAACCAGTAATGAGAAGTCACAGTGACTGGAAATCAAAGGTGGCACCTATAATCAGCAAGGTGACCGGAATCGAACCCAAGCCTCTTGGTAGCATAATCGGGTCACACTTCGTAGGAGGATCACACTTTCATGCTGTCCATGCTTGGAACCACATGAACTTCAACTCACTCCACTAGGAGCCAGTGTGCCATAAAGCCTCGGCTTCCCCAAATGAGACTGTTACCCCACTTTAGAGTCTCATGTGTCCAGTGAGAAGGGGGCATTAGAAAGCTGCGGTCCCGTAGTCCCCTGGACTTTACAGTGCAGGACAACAGCCTTATAAGAGGTTCCAGCAGATCACAGCCAATGCTTCAGAGCACTTAAAATGCAGTGTTACTCCTTGGAATCCTATTTTACAACAAAGCGAGACAAAACAATACACAAGTATCAGACACACACACACACACACACACACACACACACACACACACACTCTCACTCACTCACTCTCTCCCTCTCCCTCTCTAGAGAAGAGACAGCCATGATTTCTTCTTCAGAAAGGTCTGCCAATCAAGCTTAATCGGGGATTTTGTACCGAATGCTCTAAACATTTGAAGGCTTCAAAAAGTTTTGGTGGCATTTTTTTTAAACAACCAATTTCTCTAAAATGTAATAACATCACCAAAAGCAGCTGAACAGAACCAAGCGGCAGAGAGGACTTGTCCAGTTAATGCTGAACTAGAGTAACTCCAGACACTTTTCCAACCAGTCACAGGGCAAGCGCGTAAGGGAGTCACCAGCCCGGCCGGCTGCGTCCTCACGCTTCTGGTCCAAGAGCTTCAGCAGTCTTACCTTCTGCACGTTTGGCTTGATACAGCGAACAAAGAAAGGGTTCGAGGAGCTCAGCGTGGCCATCAAGGAATGCAGCGAGTCCTGGGGAAGGAAAAAGAAGATTTCTGATTTCATCTCCTAGGGCGTATGCTGTTCCTTCTGTCTCTCAAAACCCTAAGCACTTCCCAAGAGACTCAGCCACCGAAAAGAAAACTGCGTAAACCCAGCACTAACAGTCAAGACTGTCTTTCAACGATGCTATTCTGATAGAAAACGAACTAAACGACAATGCAACATACTGTCACGTAAGTCATTTTGCAGTGTGCAAAAGCAATTTACCATTCTTCATGCTGACACCGCTTTTTACAAAACAACAAAACCCCCCAAATATTCTGCCTAATAACAAAAACACCCCTAGAATATTTACTGCTTAGCACAGACATGCAGGAGAGTATCTGCCCTCTTGCTATTGCTGTGTGCTGTCCAGTCAGAACCGAATCACAGCAGACCCTCCAGTGGGTTTTCAGAGACCCATCCTTCTCACACAGAGCAGCTGGTGGGTTTGAACGCTGTACCTTTGGGAATGCAGTGCCCATCTTATCAGTAGGCCACCAGAGCTCCCTCTTATTGTACTTACTCTTAATTCAGCGTTTCTATAGAGATAGGAACCTACAGCAGGACTTGATGTCCCTGTGTGGTCAAAGTGCTCAACTGCTAATTCAAAGGTTGATGGTTTAAGTCTACACAGAGAACACTAGGAAGAAAGGCCTGGTGCTCAATTTCTGGAAAGCCAGCCATGGAAAACCTGGTGGAGCTCAGCTCGACTCTGGCGTGGGGGGTCCTAAATAGGATGAGCTCTGGAGATAGTGCTGTTTTGAGGAAGCCAGCGATTCTCTGGTCCTAGATACATAATCCCTCACGGTCTTCTCCAAATCAGCAGACATGACTGAGGCTGAAGACCAGTCACTACAGTACTATCTTTTCTCTCTCTTCTCCTTTGTTCCTTTTAAATCATGGAGAATTTTTCCCATGGAGTACAGCCGACACACCCTTGCCCTGAGTCTCGGTTCCTGGTCTGAGCATTCCCAGCCCTCATCCTAGACATCGGGGTAGCATCACCTGCCACTATTTCCATGTGCATTGCTAACGGATACATGGTTTAACACTGTAAAATCCACACGTGTGACCACAACGGCACCATGCCTCAAACAACAGAACAATTCTTTAAGATCATTGGGACAATTTTTCAACCGTCTCAGACAATGCAATGGGTGGCATGTAAGTCTCTTAAGTCTCTTTGAATCTACTGGTTTTCTTTCTACTCTTCCTCTCCTGACCATTTTTTATTTGTTTGTTTGATTTTTGTTAAAGTAACTGCATTGTTGGGTACTGTCAGTTGGAACCAACCCACAGATGACCCTCCTGCGGATTTTCCCCAACGGTAGCTATCTCTAACCCTGCGTTGAGAGTCACTTCTCTGAAAGTTGAACGTCTTACAGATAGTAAACTGTGCTGGTGGTCCCGGCCCTTCTGATTTGGTTCCCGCTCAGTGCCTTATAGGACCTTGGCCAGCTGGGCCAATCTGGAGACTCCACAGGGCTCCGGAAAACACAGTGCACAGTTCTGCCTTCACACCCCTTTGCCTAGTGCATCTCCCTAGAAGGTCCACCAGCTTTGATCCATTCCCATTTTTCTCCATCAAATTTAAATCCTACTTGTCTACAAAGCCTTGCAGACATCAATCTCCAGGCGACAACGACTTTCTAGAAAAAGCAGACAGAATGTCTCCAGTGGGAGATGAAGAGCCTAGGCTTTAAGAATGACAAACAGGTTCATATCCTCGCCTCTGTGCTCTCAGGGATTGAGGGGGTTTCTAAATCTCCACTGCATCAGCTGCAAAGTGGAAACAATTATATAGAGTCGTAAGCTGGTGTGAGGCATAAATAGATAACGCTAAAAAAGTGATTAGTTCAACTCCTGGCACATAAATAAGGATCTGTAAGTGCTGGCTATTCCTCTTGTCTATCTGGGTCCTGTGTGCCACACTGGTGGATAAATCCTGGCACATAAATAAGGATTTTAAGTGCTGGCTATTCCTCTTGTCTATCTGGGTCCTGTGTGCCATGCTGGTGGGTACATGGGTCCCCTCCTACAACACACCACTCTGGACCTTGCAGAGCACTAGATACCAGTCTCTCATCTGAGAGGAGCTACGTGGAAGAGACCTCCCAGAAGAATTTCTTAGATGTCTGCTCGCTGATGAGCCTCCCCTCCGGCTTCCCGTCACGCTAAGATTTCCTGAGGGGAAAGCCAAGCGGGAACGTCAGGGAAATGGTCTGTGTTCACTCCAGCTTGAAACTCCACAAAATGCTTTCATGTTTACACTGCAAACATAAACGCTCCTCCAGCTCCCTCTTTCTGAACATCTGGACGAGGTAGGCCGCATCAATCATGTCCACGGCCCACAGCTGTCATTCCTAGACATGACAATGTAAACACAGCTGGGAAAGGGCAAAAATCCAGAGAGGGGAAGACAGTCACCCTACTCTCACAAAAACCTCTAAATTCACACCAGACGGAGGAAGAAATTAATAAACCGCTCAATTTACACCTATACATTTACACAGATAGAGGAGGCAATGAATCCTATTTTCATACGAACGTCTACATTCACACCAGCGCGACCCCCAAAAGGCCAAACTCACCCTTCCGAAGAATGGGTTTTGCCCCAGTTTAGAGTAAGTAGCTTGCTAAAAGTATACTGCTTTGTACAAAAGAACTACCACGTTCTCCTCTTTCAGAACAAGGATGTGTGTTTCATTTCAAGAGTTGTTGTGTACGGTTGAGTGGACTATGACTCATAGTGACCCAATGCTCTATCCTGAGCTAATCTCACTGTCTCTGACACACCTACCCTCATTACCCCAGTTACTGTGTGAATCCATCTCATCTGGGGTCTTCCTCTCCTGTGCTGTCCCTCCACCCTTAAGGATGACAGCCTTCTGCAAAGACTGGTCCCTCTTGGCAACATGGCCAAAGTCTGTAAGATGAAGTCTCAAAATTATTTTCCAATTTCAACAGAACTATCATGTTTAAAGGCAAGATATAAAAAGCAGAGTATGCTGAGGCGCTCATAGGAAGCCAAGCCCTCTCTGGTCCTGAGCCCCGGCGGGAGCGTCAGCCCCTCGGGGCCACTGTGGTCACTCACCTTGAACTGTGAGCTGACCGTGGGCCGCCGGTGCTTGCTTCCGCACTTGAGGGTGTCCTGGCTACTGCGGCTGGAGACGTGCTCAAATAGGTCATAGATGAAGTCGAACCTGCGAGAGGAAGGAGGCGGCGGCTCGCGGGGTGTGCACACCCCATCATTAACTGCTGGAGGACTGTAATTATGCAGCATTTTCCCACTGATAATTGAAAGTAATACTCTGAGGTTTGGAAGAGTCGAGATAGCTCCCGAAGGTTTCAAACCCAGCACTGCCAAAGGGCTGCAGGCACTGAAAAAACACCCACGTCCTGACGTGCTGAACTACGCTGAGGAGCAAGGCACGGGTGACAGTGGCTCAAGGTGGGACCCCACTTAGAAGCGCTGTGTCTTCTAGAGACTCACATGAGCTTCCATGCTCCTTGTCTGTCTAAAAAAGCTACATTCACTGTCATCGAGTCAATTCCAACTCATAGGAACAGAAGCACACAGTGGAACTGCCCAATGACTGTAACCTTTAGGAAAGAGAAAGGGAAACAGACTCCCTTATCCTCCACCCTGTGGGGCGGCTGGTGGGTTCGAACTGCTGACCTCTGGTTAGCTGCGGAACACTTTAACCACTTTGTGGCAGGCCTCCTTCTACCGACAGATGAGAGATATTACCCATTCTGCCCATCACACAGAACTTGTAAAAGTTCAACCAGGTAACAGAGCTGCATTACCGAGGCTCATTCACGCTGGAATGTGACAACCCAGGGTTCAAATCCTAGCTCTGTCACTTTCTAGCTGCGCTATGTGGAAAGATGCTGGACCTCACTGTCAGCCTTGGTTTCTCCTTCTGAGAAATATGGGAGTAATTTCAAAATTTTCCCCATAGGGCTACAGTTGTAATGTGCTGTCGAGTGGCTGTGACTCACAGAGACGCTATGTACAACAGCTCTGAACCCTGCTCTATCTTACCCAATTTCATTGTTTCTGACATATCTACCCCCAATACCCCAGTCACTGAGTCAATCCATCTCACCCAGGGTCTTCATCTCTTGCACTGTCCCTCCACCCTCCCAAGCATGGTGTCCCTCTCCAAGGACTGGCCCCTCCTTGCAACATGTCCAAAGTATGTCAGACGAAACCTCAGAATCCTTGCCTCCATGGTGCCGCCCAGCTTCACCCTCTCCAAGACAAACCTGTTCGTTCTCTTTGCAGTCCATGGTATATTCAACACTCTTCTCTAGCACCACAGCTCAAAGGCATCAATTCTCCTTCTACCATCCCTAGTCATCGTCCAGCTCTCTGATGTACAGTAAGCATGAAATAAAAGCATGCAAAGCAAAAGGCTGAAAGTGAAGCCTGGTATGCAGTGAATGGCGACCCATGTGTGGTTGGGATGCTAAAAACTGTGCCACCAGCGTCTCAAGTACCAGCAAGGTCACTCGTAGTGGGCAAACTGAGCTGGGAAATGTGGAGCATCAGAGAGAGAGAGCGGTAGAGAGAGAGAGAGATGGAGAGAGAGGGGGGGAGGAGAGGGAGAAAGGGAGGGGGGAGAGAGAGAGGAGAGAGTAGAGAAAGGGGGAGGGGGAGAGGGGGACGGGGGTAGAGAGTAGGGGGAAGGAGACACTGACTGAGGGAGAATGACTGACACAGTGATACAAGGACTGACACATGACACAGTGACAATGGCTCCGGCACAGTAGAGACTGTTGCGGACGGCACAGGCCTGGGCAGGGGCTCACTCTGTTGGACCTGGGTCCCTGTGAGCTGGAGCTCACCTGAAGGCACTCAACAACAAGCTCACACCACTCCCTCGGCTCCAAACCCACACCTGCCTGAGAGGGAGGCCGAACACCTGGGCACTTCCTGGTCCTCCCTTCCCAGCCCACAGACAACACCTGGGCAGCAGCACGTCTCAGACCCACTGCGTGAGCTCCCTGCACTCCGTGCCCCACGGGTACAGCGTTTTCTACAAATCCAGAGTGTGTGGCAATGCTGCACACAGCATGGCTACCAAAGCCACCCTCCAAGAGTATGTGTTCACCTGCTTGGCTGTGTCACATTTCTGTAATTTTCACATTATTTCAAACGAATATTTTTTTAAATTTTTTAATTGTGATTTTTAACAAAAGTGTAGAGAACAGCTGGATTTTTCATTCATTATTGATGCACATTTCACTCCCTACCCACCTAGTTTGCTTTTAAAAAAAGATACATTCATCATTGTATAATTTCCAAATAAAACACACATCTAACAGACTATGCAAAAAACAATTCAAAATCAACTGCCGCTGAGTCAGTGCCAACTCATAGCAGTGTCCCAATGGGTGTCCAAGCCCGGGAGGCTTTATGGGAGGAGGTTACCCAGCTCTCTGGTTAGGACCAGCTGGTGGGTTTGAACTATTGACTTTTCAGGGAGCAGCTCAACATGCAATGCACTGTGCTACCAGAGGTCCTTTTTAATAAACTCCAGTGCAGTAGTTTTTACATGCACTGGGAAGAAAGAAAAAAAAAAAAAAAAAGAAAAAGGTAGGGGGAAGTCAAGTTATTGTTTGAAATATTCTCTTTTATTGCTGTGGTCTGGAATTGAACCACCAATATTTCCCAGATGTACCTGCACTAAAATGTTTTATTTTGTTACAGATTCACCATGGGTCTGACACAAACACTGAAACTGATTTTTCAAGGACAGGCCTTTTTTTTACCTCCTTGTTTACCTCCACCATCCCTATTCAGTCTGTATACTGAGAAAATAATGCAGGAATCTGGGCTCTCCGAAGAGGAACATGGCATCAAGTTCGAAGGGAGGTGACATAGCAACCTTGCCTGCAGGAAATGAAGACCTGAGGCACTTACTGACGATCACAGATTACAGCCTTCAGTGTGGATTCCACCTCAACACTAAGAAAACAAGATCCTCACAGATGGACCAGCCGGCACCATCACAGATGGAGAAGTGATTGAAGTGATCGATTCATCTTACTTGGATCGACCATCGACTGTCATGGAAGCAACATTTAAGAATTAAAGCATATTACATATTGATGCCTTTGTACTATGGTATTGGCAAAGATTACAGACTATACAGGGATTGCCATGTACAAAGAAGTATGCCTTGTGAAAAATAAGAGTTAAATTATTCCTTAGAATTCTGAGGAGAGTGAGGTTTTATCTCCCAGCTTTTGGACATGCTGTCAGGAGGGGCCAGCACCTGGAGCAGGATGTCATGCTCGGGAAAGCAGAAGATTGGCAAAAAAAGAGGGAGACTCCCAAAGGACAGGCTGACGGAGGGGCTGCAGTAACCAACTCAGGCCCAGCAACACTGTGAGGGTGGCCCAGGACGGGGGATTCTGCTCTGTGTTGTACACGGAGTCGTGATGACAGGGAACTGACCTGAGGGCGTCTAACAACAGTATCGGGGTTCACACGTGGAACAAGAAACTGATACAATCTGAACATTCTAGCAGATTTACGGGGTGCTTATTTTTCAGGACATTTCTTGGTAAGTAGAGGCATGGCTCTGATGGCCTAGGGGTTGGGGGCTGTGCTGCCAAGCCAAAGGCACATGTTCAAATCCACCAACTGCTCTGTAGGACAAAGATGGGTAATCTCCTCCTGTGAGATGTGCTGCCTCTGAAAACCCGCCGGAGGGTCAGCTATGAGTCGGTTCTGACTTAACAACTGTAGGTAGAAACATGTGGTCCTAAAAATCTGGTGGCCGAGTGGTAAGAAACTGTGCCGCAATCCTAAAGGCATGTGGTTCGAATCCACCAGCTGCTCCGCAGGAGAAGGATGGACAGATCTCCTCCTGTGAGATGTACTGTTTCTGAAAACCCGCTGGAGGGTCAGCTATGGGCTAGTTCCAACTCGATGGTACACAACAACAACAACAATATCCGTTTAACTGTAAAAGCCATGTAAGCAGAATGCTTGCTGGGGAGAAAGCCGGATACCATGATTAAGATCTCAGAGTCCCAAACAAAACCAACCAGGTCACCACCCTCTCAGACTCACGAACCATTAGGTTTCAGACAAATCACTTAACTGCTTCGAGCCGCAGTTTCTTCATCTGCAGAATGGGATTAGAAATGGCACTTACCTCCTGCAGAATTTCTATAAGGACTAGAGGTAATTTGTGAAGCCTCTTCTTAGAAGGGCTGTGAAGTACCAGGGCGTTGCTCCTGACTGTACAGAACCCCGCTGCTCCGGCTCCCGCCCCACCACACCCCTGCTGTACCTACGGCCCCTGCCTCAACCCCTCTTATTACGGTACCTAGAGCTACAATGAATTATTTTCTGTCTTAGTGTGTGATGAATTACCATTCACAGAAGATTTTAAACCAAGTTTCTTTCTCCATTTGAGAATGAACAGAACTGGTACAAATATTGATCCACTTGCTAATTACTTCTCTAAGGAGGTGCAGTCAAGCTAATGACTAACTAATCAAAGGTGAAGTAGTCAAGGCTTCCGCTCCTAACCAGGAGGTCAGTAGTTTGAATTCACCAGCTGCTCTAAGGAAAGATGATGAGGTAATCTGTACAGATTACAGCCCTGGAAACCTTACGGGCCAGTCCCACTTTGTGTGGTTGGGTCTCAGGGCCAGTGGCCGAGGATGTGGGCTTGGTTTTCGAGGGAGACCACTCACCGGCTTTCTCTCAGGAGGTTGAGGAGGTCATCTCGAAAGGTGTCTCTGTTCTTCTCCAAGATCCCCCGCACGTCATAGTGTACCTTGTTTTAAAAACAAAACCGAGAGTGGAAAGGGAAATGAGAGAACAGTGCAGACCGGAGCAATCCCTCTCACAGCTACAGCAACCCCCCAGACACTAGCTCGGCACACTGGGAACTGGCTGTGACGAAGACACTGCCTTTCTGCAGGTCTGTGGGGGCCCCCCCAGAGCATTACCCCTAACAAGTTACCTCTCCAGCGTAGTGTTTCACGCCAAAATTGTTGACTGCTACTCGGGGCTTCACGTAAAAGTGGTTGTTCTAGAAACAAAGGCAGAGACTTCATTTCACTTTCCTGTTTCCATGGGCCTGCCTACAGTGAAAATGAAACACGACAGACGGGGAACACAGTCTCCTCCTTCTCGGGCACAACAGCTAGTGGGTTCAAACCACAGCCTTTTGTGGTTAGCAGCTGACTGCTTTAGCCACTGCATAACCAGAGTCACGACAGAAGGATGATGTTATGTGCCATCAAGTTGCCTGCAAACCATAACGACCTTATGTACAGCAGCTCTGAACCCTGCCCTGTCCTGAGCCAGTCTCATTGACTCTGACACACCAACTGCCATCACCCCAGTTACTGTATCAATCCATCTCATCCAGGGTCTTCCTCTCCTGTGCTGTCCCTCCACCCTTCCGAGCATGATGTCCTTCTCCAAGGACAGGTCCCTCCTGGCTATGTGACCAAAGTATGCGAGACAAAGCTTCAAAATCCTAGCCTCCAAGGAGAAACTTGGTTTTACTGTCTCTAAGACAGACCTAATTGTTTTCTTGGAAGTCCATGGTACGTTAAAGACTCTTCTCCAGCACCACAACTCGAAGGAATTGATTCTTCTTCTATCATCCTTACTCACTGTCTAGACCCCTGATGCATAGTAAGTAACTGGGAAGACCATGGCCTGGATCAGGCACACCTTAGTCTCTAGACTGACATCATTCTTCTCAGTACTCTGAAGAGGACCTTGAAAGCAAATTTACCTAACACAATTCATGTTAAACAGTCTACATTCTGTTCTGATGAACGAAGTCTGAACATATTCTGAGAAGTAGCCCATAGTTTTTCAGCTTACCTTCAACAGAGGAATTTGGTTTGGAGGAAAAAAAAAGAAACAAAAACCAAAACAGAAAAATAAAAAAACACCTCAATGTAGGTGATACAGCAGGACCAGCAGCTCTGAAATACCTTGTAAGTAATCTCAATTTACTAACAAAATTGCTATTTTCAATAGCCTCACAGGCATTTGAGAGTAGGACAATAACTAAGAAAAACTGAAGAACTGATGCTCTTGAACTGTGGTGCCAGAGAAGAATGTCTACTATAACGTGGACTGATAAAAGAGAAAACACATCTTAGAAGAAGAAAGGTTAAATGCTGTTAGATGTGAGAATGGTGGTGCCTCGTCTTCCACACTTTGAACATGCAGTCATGAGGGACCCAGGGCCCTAAGATACGCCCCAGGAAGCTAAACGTCAATGAAAGAAAGACGTGTCTCAAGCAGACGGCTGGTGTGGTGTCTGCGGCAACGGTCTATAGCACAGCAGTGTCTGTGGGGATGGAGCAGGACCAGGGGGCATCTAACAGAAACAGCAATCTTTAATATTTATTTTTGCGTGTGTACTGTCAAATCGGATCTGACTGGTACTGGAGAAGATTGTCCCTCCTTCCCCGGCAGAGAATCTGGTGGATTTGAACCATGAGCCTCTGGGATTGCAATGCAGCTTCTTGCCACTAGGCCACCAGAACTCCCCTATAGAAACAGAAATCTTAACCCACAGACCCGCTCGGCTGCCAGAACAAAGAATCCCCAGGGTAGGACATACAGCGTGTTGATTGTGTAACTTCTCCAACAAGGTGCTGTCGGTGGCCTGGGGGAAGTGGCTTTCTTCGTTGATAAGGGCCAAGAGGCCAAGTTTCTAGAACAGGAAAGATTCAGAAGTCTCCATGAATTGCAAGTTAAACGAACGCCGTTCAAACATTTTCTTTTAAGCTCCCTTCCTGCCTAATCTCTTATCAAGTTAAGTGGTTTATGGGACGTGCTACTGAGGAATCCAGTGAATTCAAAGAAATTAAAAATCTACACCCCTACTTGCAATTTTGTAATGCATATGATTGGCAAACCTCCTGTTGGCACTGGGAAGGCGTCTGATGCCAAGTGAAATCTAGGTGAAGCCAATTCGCACATGTGGATTCTGAAATACAGACTCCGATGAAACAATGAAGTCTGAAGAGGCCAAGGATTTAAATCCAAACCCTCACATGAACATTTGTGTTTCCAAACGGCCCATTGTGTTAGAAACTGTTCACAGCTTTGATGTGCGTGTTCGCACAAGCTGCTTTGTTTCCTTAACGATGAATCAGCTCAGCTGGCGACCCCAGGGACCAGAGCCAGGCTCTGACAATACGCTACCTTCTCAATCAAGTCGAGGCATTCCCCGTTGTCAATCCAGTCAATATCTTCCCACACTAATCCTTCCCTGTGGAAAAAAAGAAGCTGGCAAACTCAGTGCAAACCTGACTTCCAAGCAATCTCCTCTCACTGCCGGTTTAAGGACGCAAACAAACAAAAATGAAATGGAATGGAATTCCACGAATGTTACCTGCTATATTCCAGTTGTTCTAAGGAAAAAATATGCTTGTTGAAATATTCCTGAAGCTTCTCATTTGCATAGTTTATATTGAACTGCTCAAAGTGGTTAACCTAAGGGAGAAAACAGTCAACAGGTGGGTTGTGTTGTGGTTTTTTTTTCTGTTTCATTGCTATTTTTTGCATTTTCCTAAATCCTTTTTTCACTGTGTCTGTCAACAGGAAATAAAAATTTAAAAAAAACCCCTATAAATACTTACAATCAATTAAGACAAATTTACAAAAGATTTTAACTATTTTTTCCTATTTGATCAATGTGGTTTTCACTGGTTGCTTTCATCAGAAATAGTATAGGACATTGATAGAGAGATGAGGTCCATTTCTTCTGTTACACTTTAACGAGATGAGTTCTATATTTTCACAGCATCCATTTTGAATTGCAAAAGTTTAATTTGTATTTATTTCACAACTTGATAGTATTAATAACATTAAAACAGTATAATTATAAATGTTACTATACAACACTCATGATTAGGTATTATTGTCACGACATGAGTCCAGAACGAAGGCTGCACAGTGGAGTGGACATGGGGGGGTGGGGATTGTTTAACAATGGAAGAATTTTTCTTTTACTTTTCAAAGAAGAATGAACTGGAGGGGAAGGGTGGGCAGGGAGAAAAGTGTAACAATGAATTAATGGAAATCCAAAATCTCTGTAAATTTTCATTAAAATTAAGAATAATAAAAAATTTAAAAAACAGGTGTTTTTCGTATCATCACTGATATGTAGAAAGAGAAAAGAAAGGGTGAAAAAAAAATAACCCCCAGGAAAAAAAAGATCAATGTGTATTTCCAGAGATGTGTCTACAGCAGCTGACAAACGTAAGACAAGAAAGTAGAGGACCTACTTTTCTGAAACATACCTCAAAGTTTTCAAATCCAAAGATGTCGAGAATGCCAATGGATTTGAAGTCATCTTTGCCTTTGATCCTGCTGTTAATCTTCTTAATTACCCACTCGAAGCATCTCGAATAAAGTGCCATGGCCAAGGAGTCCCTGCTGTCCACTGCCTGGGGGTGAGGAGAAGGAGACTTCAGGATGTCACCGGCCAACAGCTGCGGGGGCAGCAAGCCCATCCTGACCTGCGTGGGTCAGAGGAGGCACCGAACAGGGGAGCCAACGATTGTCCAATTTCATGTCAGTAACCAGGTGCTATCTGGTCTCCGAGAGGTCCCTGGCTGATGGCCGAGTGCGTACCTGCTGGACACTGAGGGGCGTGAGGATCTCTTCTCCCCTGAGGACCATTGATCTCTGGGTCAGCGCGTCTGTGAGCTGTGTTGAGTCGAGGCCCAGTAACTCCGCAGACCTGCCCAGAGCTGGCGATGAAGGAGAGGACAGGTGAGGACCCAGAGCCCCCGACAAAGATTCTTTAAAACTTGGAAATGCACTTTTTAAACACAAAAATATTTATTTTAATAGGCAATGTGTTTATTACAATTATTTTTTCCTCAATTTTTTTATTATTAATTTTAATGAAAATTTACAGAGACTTTTGGATTTCCATTCATTCATCGTTGTACTTTTCTAAGTAAAAGAAAAATTCTTTCCTTGTTTTACAATCCCTCCCCCCAGGTCCACTCCACTATGCAGCCTTCATTCTGGACCCGTCATGACAAAAATACCTAATCACATATCCCTTTTAAACAGTTTTCTCCCTCATCTGTTTCAATGCAGTATATATTATTTATCCCATCTTCTTCAGTCTGTCCCCCAACCCTGATGTCAGTGTCGTTTTACAACAGTGGCACCATGCAGTATTTGTCCTTTGGTGACTGAGATATTTCACTCAGCATAATGTTCTCCAGGGTCACCCATTTGGAATACTATTGCATGAGTTCCTTGTTTTTCAATGCAGCATAGTATTCCATTGTGTGAATACACCAGAGCTTCTCTATCCATTCATTTGTTGATGGGCACTTAGGTTGTTTCCAACTCCTTGCTATTGTGAACAAAGCCATGATAAACATGGGTGATAAGCTTGGGTGGCAGTTATGGTCTCTTTGGGGCATATTTTTATGTGAATTAAGTGTTTATAAAGTACATCAAACGTCAATTTCTAACATGGTTAGCACTGGCAGAGTAATAATTCACACACACACAAAAGCTCTTTGGGGCCTGGGGTCCTGCTGCTGTTTAAGGATATTGAGAGATTTTACACTGCACCTTGCCCTAGACTCGCTGGATGAGGTCCCAAATGACTGTCCTTATTGTTGTTAGGTGCTGTAGGGTAGAGAGTGACTCCCAGCAACCCTAAGAACAACAGATCTGAACGCTGTCCTATCCTGCCTCATCCTCACAGGCCCTGACACACTGACGTCCACTGCTGCGGTCACTGTATCGATCTACCTGGTGGAGGGTCTTCCTCTCTTTCGACAACTCTCCACCTTTGAATGCCAAATGACACATGACTGCCGTCAGACATCTTTAAACCCGGAATTCAGTTTTACTGAGGCACAAATGGAGACTTGTACACCAGTATTTATAACAGCGTCACTCACCATCACAAGAACAAGGAAACAGCCCAAATGCCCAAACATAATAGAATGGATTGAGAAATGATGGTACATTCAGACAGTGGAGTACTATGCAGGACGCAGGAGCAATGATTTTGTAAATTACTACCTAATACGGGAGGGACTGGAGAGCATTACGCTGGATGAACTAACTCAATCTGTATAAGACCATTATTGTAGAATGAGTACAAGGATCCAAGGGTGTGTGTGTGTGTGCTTAATTATAAGATCACACAATTTGATGGGTGGAGGGAGGGGTGGGTAAAGGAAAGAGGAAAGATCAAGTATGAAAAACAATGTATATGAATTTAACAAGTATAAAAAAAATAAAAAGGAAGAATTAAAAAATAAATCAGCTTCTATGGATGCAGTATGTGGTTGTTAGGGGCTACGAACCTGGGAGGGGTACAAGAAGAACTGGGTGTTAACCATCATGCCAGGTCATCTTCTCAATGAGGTTATGTATTGGGGGTGGGGGTGAGGGGACTTCCCTGGCTGTTAGTCTTTCAGGAAAAAACCAGGGAGGCTTATCTGCCAATCCCCAATATTTTTCAACATCTATCTTTTCTTGCTCAGACTGCCACTTTAAAGCATTTCCCTACTTTCTCAGTAAAGAGGTAAACACAGTCACTATCCCAGTCAATGGCTATTCACACTTTGACCTGTATTACCTCACATTTCCTGTCAGAAAAGTGAAAACTCTCTAGCTCTTGCACTAGGAAGAGAAATATATAGATCTTGAATAAAGTATTTATTTATATAAATAAAATCTATCTATCTATCTATCATCTATCTTTGGAAGCAAGAGTGGCATCCACTTACTAACATGCCTCCGGAAACTCTATGAACTTTGATAAATGTCAATGGTTGTAGAGGGGCTTCAGGCCTTTTGTTCACGTGGTCACTATGAGCTGTGCTCGACTCAAAGGCAATCAAAAACAACAACACATATTTTGAAGAGTGGGAATCTCAGAGCACTTAATTGTGCTCATAGTAGAAGCCCAGACCTAGACCAAGAGGCAGCTGTGTAAACAGAGCGAGGGAACAGTACATGGTATAAAACGAAGAAAGGAGTGAGTCCATCAGGATTGTATTTTCTCTCCGCAGCTGTAAAGGGGAAGAAAACTTTCTCTGGACATAGCCATGGAATCAATGGTTGAGTTCTTGCAGCCAACATACTCTCAATCACCAAACTCTGCAGTTACCGTAGATACAGACAGTTCATAAATGAACAGGTGTATTCAGGCAGTCTCCTCCCATGCGATTAACTAGCAGCTTCTGAAAACCCGCTGGAGGGCCAGCTATGGGTCGGTTCCGACTCTGTGGCACACAACAACATTCCAATACAATTGTATTTACATGTTTCCTAACCCTCTGTGCTGGTCTTCCAGAGATCCACACTAAATCAACTACAGTAGAGGCACAGGAATTGTTGAGGACACGGCAATGTGAGAATAACCATTTAGTCATTCCATGAACCGCATTCCTGGCCCCTCACAACATTATCATGAAACCCTCCTTTTTCCCTCTGAGGACTGAAAATGGTAAACTGGTGCTGCTACTCACTGAGCAAGGAATGAGCATGGCGCTTAGTGGGGGCTTACTGAAAAGGAATGGTGCTGCCAGTGCAAAGGTACGTGGTTTGAATCCACCAGCTGCTCCAAAGGAGAAAGATGGGCAATCTCCTCCTGTGTGATTTACTGCCTCTGAAAGCCCCTTGGAGGACCGGCTATGGCTTGGTTCTAACTTGTTGGGACACAACAACAGGAAGCAGGGAAAGGGTTTTAGGAGAGGGAGAGACGCGGGAGAGACAGAAAGAAGCAATCTTACCTGTTTTGAAAGAGACCTGTGCCCCGCCAGCAGTGATAAACTCTATGTTCCCGAGGTGTAATATACCAGCGAGCAACCTCAAGACTTCCCGGACCTCCTCCTTGCTGAACTGCATCACTTCCATCGCCGTCTAGAAGACATTCATTTCACTTTTCAATACTCCAATCAAACTTTTACAAAGCCAACTGGTTTCTTATTCAACTATTCAGACACATTTTGCTTTGCTTTATACAATGTGAATGACAATGCCCACAACATAACACTTTACTCACTCCTGCCCTGTGAGTCTCATTTCCATGAATCCATGTAGCCTAGCCATTCCTGTCTTCAGGGCCTCATCCTCCAGCAAATGCTGCTCTTTGGCTCTACGTGGCTCTAAGGCATGGGTGATTCTCTGGTGTCACCTGACAGGACTGCCTACTAGTTGGCTGAAAGTGGAACCACAGAGGTGAGTTTTGTTCTAGGTTCAAATGGTGTGCACTTCATTTTTTAATGGTGTTTTTCAGACTGATAGTGATAAAAACACTCATAATTCAATTTATAAAAACCTGTATTGTCTCAAGGTAAAGCGGCAACTACATAATGGCTCACTTTTTAAAAGATCAAAGAGTTTATTTACACAGGCGTATATGAGCTGTGGTGCTGGAGAAGAGTATTGATTGTATCATGGACTGCCAAGAAAACAAACAGATTCATCCTAGAGAGGGTTAAACCAGAATACTCCTTGGAGGAGTACAGACTACTCCTGGGGCTTCGTCTGACATACTTTGGACATGTTATAAGGAAAGACAGGTCTTTGGAGAGGGACATCATGCTGGGTAGAATAGAGGGACAGTGCAGGAGGGGAAAACCCTCTATGAGGTGGACAGATTCAGTGACTGGGGTAATCGGGATGGGTGTGTCAGAGGCAATGCGACTAGCACAGGACAGAGCAGGGTTTAGGGCTGTTGTACATAGGGCCGCTATGAGTTGCAAACGACTCGATGGCACATAACAACAACAATATAAACCAAGCTGAAACCAGCTGCTAGCAAAGTGACACTGACAGGTACAGACCCCGCACACGTCAGAGCAGAGCTCTGCCTCACAGGGTCTCCTATGGGGGGTTTGGCTGCCTCTGGGTGGGTGTGGACCTCAGGCCTTTTGGTTGGTGATCAACTACATCAGCCATTTGTACCAGGGACTTCATACAGGGGAGAAATATCTATGGAACAGCAGAATGCTCAGAACTACAGAATGTGCGCAAATATCCCAGAAATGTTTATGAAAATTAATAAAATATAATTATAGAAAGAAAAACCAAACAGAAACCCCTCTAAACTATGTGCATGCCTCCACTTTTTTTTAGCTGAAATTTTAATGAACATTTATAGACACTTTGGATTTCCACTCATTCATTGTACATTTTCCTCCCTGCCCACCCCTCTCCCCAGTTGTTTTTTTCTCTTTGAAAAGTCAAAACAAAACAAAACAAACTTTCATTATTACACAATCCCCACCCCAGTCCACTCCACCACGCAGCTCTTATTCTGAACTCATCATGAAAATAATACCTAATCGTATATTCCTTTCAAACAGTTCTCTCCCTCATCTGTTTCAATGCAGTATACATTATTAATCCCCTCTTTTCTTAGTTCCCCCCCAACCCTGATGTCTGTCATGTTTTACAACAGTGGCACTATGCAGTATTTGTCTTATTGTGACTGAGGTATTTCACTCAGCAGAATGTCCTCCAGGGTCACCCATTATGAATAATAATTTCATGAGTTCTTTGGTTTTCAATGCAATGTAGTATTCCATTGTGTGAATATACCACAGCTTCTCTTTCCATTTGTTTGTTGGTGGGCACTTGGGCGGTTTCCAACTCTTTGCTGCTGTGAACAAAACCATGATAAACATGGGTGTGCATATTATCTGCTTGGGTGGCGGTTATGGTTTCTTTAGGGTCTATTCCCAGTAGTGGAATTGCTGGGTCAAATGGTATCTCTATTTACAACTTTTTGAGAAAGCGCCACATCGCTTTCCACAGTGGTTGCACCATTTTACACTCCCATCAACAGTGAATAAGAGTTCCAGTTTCTCCACATCCTTGCCAGCATTTGTTGTTTGCTGTTCTGTTAAAGTTTGCTAATCTTACTGGGGTGAGATGACATCTGCTAGTTGTTTTGGCATGCCCCCACTTTTATCAAGGCAGAAGTGCATTGTTAAGTTGTCCCAGTAATGACTAAGTTCACGTTCAGTTTAAGATGTTGCTGTGGAGCTGGAGGAGACACACAGCTGACCCTTCAGTGGGAGTTTGGAGGCTGTAAATCTCACCGGGGTGGGGGCGGGTGGGGGGAAACTGCTCATCTTTCTTTTGAGAACCTCCTGGGGGATTCGAACTGCCAGAATGGTGCCACCCCTGGGTTTGCAGAGCAACACCATACGGGCTACGCCACCACACCAGAGTGACAAGGACATGAGTAGGATGGAGTAATACTTTAACTCCAGGTATTAAAGTGTAGTGCCTTCACACACACACACACACACACACACACGTTGGGAGGTGGCTGCTATGTGTTTATTCCGGTGCACCTGGACTCAAGGTGACCCTCAGGAGCCCTGGTGGCTCTGTGGTTAAACATCTGGGTGCCAACAGAGAGGCAGACAACCTGAAGTGAGAGTCCACCAGCAGCTCCGTAGGAGGAGAGACACGGTACCCTGCCGCTGTGAAGATTTCACCCAAGGAAACCCCACATGGCAGGTCTGCTGGGTCCCTGAGGACCGCGACGGGTCACTGTGAGCGCTGGGTTAGGGCCCGTGCCTCCCAAGACACCCCAAAGTAAAACTCTGGGCCTTGTCTCAGTGGCTCCAAGAAGGCGGAATCAAATATTCTATAGGAATTCTACAGGCGCCCTGGTGATAAAGTGCATTTAAAATGTGACTTAACAGTCACCAGTTTGAATCCACGAGCCTCTCCGTGGGACAGAGATGGACAGAGTCTCCTCCTGTGAAGAATTACGCCCCTATCGATACAAGGTAGCCGAGCCAGAAATGCATCAACAGCAGTGAGCCTCAGAGACTTTACATGCCAGGGAGTCTGCAGATCCTTTTAGAAAAGATACTGACAGAAAAATCTAAACAGAAATTTGCTTTCCAGGCATTCATTTCATCCTAGCTTTTATTTTGCCGAAGGATTTGTAGTCTCACGGTGGCCCACGTGCCATCCTCTGGACAGTAGAAGGAAGCTAACAGAGTAACGAGAATCAACGACAGGAAGTCCTTACACAAGTCACTCAAGAAATTCACTGCCAGGAAAACCACCAACAGCTGACGGGGGTCTTCTAGCCAGCGGGTTTCTGAAGCTGCAAATATTTACAGAAGACTGCCTAGCTCTTTCTGAGTGGGCAGTGGGCAGATTCAAATCACTAACCTTCAGGTTAAGAGCCCTGTAAGTTACACACTTCACCACCAGGTATTTTCTGAATAATAATAAGTGAGATTCCTTCATTTTCCATTGTGATCTGCAAGCCTTGTCCTCATCAGAAGGTAAAAATTCAAGCACAACTTTTGGCCATATTGACAAGAATGTTCTAGAAGGAGAACTGGGGTCCCGGCTCAGTGCAATGACCACAGGAGACCAGGGAAAAGGAAGTCTTTCCCGGCTCTGAGAGGAAACCACTTAAATATGTGAAAAGTTTCATTTCTTTACAAGGGCAAGAAAACAATAAAGTCAGGAAGAAATGGCAAACAATGGACAGGAAAACATTTGAAAGAATGACAGGGAGTGGACCAGCACCTATGCTTCAAGACACCTGAGGAAGTACAATCAGAGGTCCTTCCCACAGGAGAAGGAAATTCACCGAGCAAGGTTTTCCCCAAGATGTGCAAACGTAGAAAGAAAATGAAAATGAAAAATATCGCTGTTATGCTCCTGAGACTTAAAGCAACTCTACATAAAACAGCTTGGAACCCTGCTCTATCCTGAGTCAACCTTACTGTCTCTGACACACCTACGCCCATTACCCCAGTCACTGTATCAATCAACCTCATCGAGGGTCTTCCTTTCCTGCGCTGTCCCTCCACTCTCCCAAGCATGATGTTTTCATTTTCAAACTAATATACAACATTTCTCTAACTTCAGTGACCACAGAAATGATGGTCCTCACAGTCTAAAGCCATATACCTGATCTGTGTAAAATACTGCAGTGAAAAAGGATTTCTCAAGCCAAGGATTTCACACTAGCAGACAAAGTAAAAGATGGCCTGAAAATACAGAAATGTGCCTCACAAAATGAAGTGTAGGAAGAGTTCTGTAAAATATCTATAAGGTGTACCGAGAGGCAAATGCAACAAGTAAAAGAAATGTGCTGACTCTATTAATATACTTAGGACTTCTTTGTTTTTAAGTCCAAGGCTAAGTGAATTCGTTAATGAGTTCGGAGCATGGTGATCAGCGGTAATTGCGTTAATTATACCAATGGGGGTAATTTAATGACCACCACCAATTACCAGCATCACCATGGGCACGTGTGAGGTACCAGCCTCCACTACTGTGCGTTCCTACATTCCGTCAGTCCCTCTGCTGAGCGACCTCCCGCCTCCAGCTTAGGCAGCCACTTCAAGACTTATTACAAGTATTTTACTTTCTCAATAATACAACTTAAGACTGAAAACACTGGGAAATGCTCAAGCTAGCTCAGAAATATGGGACAGAAATTTAGAAACTGGCAGGAAACTGGACAAAATGCTCCCACTGCAAGTTTTTGGGAACGGGTGCATTTGGGGATATGCTCGGCCATTGAGCTAAATCTCACTCAATTGGGTCTCTGCGGCTGAAAATCGTTCAGGGCAAAGAATGCCCATCTTTCTTCATTGGGGCAACTGGTGGATGCAAACCTCTGACCTTGTGGTGAGAAGCTGGACATATAAAGTACTAATGCCGCCAGAGCTCATCAGTTGGTGAGTGGATGGTGACAAATCTATGACACGGACTCAGGTAGCAAAAAGCCAGGGCAATTAAAAATGCAGCACGAGAAGCAGAGAGGAGGGGGGAGTTTTACATACTCTACAATGGAGGACAGTGGTAGTGGAGGGATAGGATGTCCTCCTTTCATGCAGGAGACCCAGATTCAGTTCCAGCCAAGGTACCCCATTGCACTGGGCCCGGCTGGGCAGTGGAGGTTTGTGTGCTGCCATGACAGTGAATGCAGTTCAATGGAACATCCAGACTGAGAGTAGGAAGAAAGGCCTGGCTACCTATTTCCCAAGGGCAAGGTTCAATCTGTTGTTCACAGGGTCACTAAGACTTGTAGTCAATTTGACCCACTTAACACCATGTCCGCATTTTCCCAACTACCATTCAAAAGGGTTAAAAGCAGAAACAGAACAAGCCAGCCATGACCGTGGATCTGAAGCAAGACTTTCACCCTGACCAAACCACATCTACAGTGGACTCTGGAAGATTCCATTTTAAAATGGACTCTAGAATTTAGTATCATTTTATGGCCTCCAAAGGAGCCCTGGTTAAAATGTGTCAGTTTATCTTGTTTAGGTCATCTGCTATCATCCTTAGTCATTGTCCAGTTCTCTGATGCATAGCAAGTAATTGTGTAAGTAAGGCTCACCTTAGTTTTTAGACTGAAATTGTTGCAATTCAGTACTCTGGAGAGGTCCCAGAGAGCAGATTTTTCCAGTGCAATTCAATTTTTTTATTTCTTGATTGCTGACTAGAGAGATCCACATCTATTCCCATTCCAAAAAAAGGTGATCAGACAGAGTGTGGAAACACATTAGCAAAATCCTGTTGAAGATTATCCAGAAATGACTGGAACAGTATTATTGACAGAGAACTACCAGAAATACAAGCTGGGTTTAGAAGAGGTTGTGGCACTAGAGAAATTATTTCCAATGTCAGAGAAAGCAGAGAGTACCAGAAGAATGTCTGTGTTTCATTGACTATGCAAAAGCATTTGACTGTGTGGATCATGACAAATTGTGGCTAACCTTGAGGAAAACAGGAATCCCAGAACACTTGATTGTGCTCATGTGAAACCTATACTTGGACCAGAAAGCAGTCCTCAGAACAGAGCATGGAAACACTGCATGGTTTAAAATCAGGAAAGCAGCACATCAGGTATGCATCCTGTCCACATACCTTTTCAATCTATATGCAGAACAGCTCATTTGAGAGCCTGGGCTTTATGAGGAGAAATGAACATCAGGACTAGAGGAACACTCATTAATAACCTACGTTATGCTTGCTGAAACTGAAGAGGATCTGAAGTGCTTGCTGCAGAAGGTCAAGGACTGTAGTCTTTGATATGGATTGAAGCTCAACATCAAGAAGACAAAGATTCTCACCACTGGGCCAAATGGCAGGACTATGATAGATGGAGAAGAACAAAACTAGAGATGCTTATAAATAATGTGGCTCTGCCTTAAGCAGCCCTGGTGATGCAATGGTTAAAAAGCTTGGCTTGCTGTAATGGAGCTTACCAAGTAAAGGATATAATATCAATAATTTAACAATTCCTCAATCGTCAATCAATTGTCTTAAGTTTGGGGAGAGACGGACACTTGTTTATAGTAAAGACTGTTTCTGAAAAAGCTGCACGTTTCTTTGTATTTCCTTCTTACTGTGTTGCTTAATTAGGTTAAAATAAGCCCAGTGGAAAAAAAAAACCAAAAAACCACGACCCTGATTTCACTACAGAACAGCTAGATTTAAATTAGCACTGCTAGCGGATAAACACAAATACGAAAATGTAAACACAAAAGAACTTAAGGACCTAAAAAGAGTACATATGTTAGTTACATCCATTGGCCATCATAGCAATTTCATTTCACGGATGCATGTTTTCTCTCTAGATGATACATCTCTCAGTCATGTGGTCAAGTTTCAAATGCCAAAATATACTATTTTTAAAAAAAACAAAACCCAAAAACAATCAGCCTTCACTGAAAATGGGCCGGACTCCACAAGTTTCTCTATAGTTAATCAATGGAACTAGGAGGTTGGAACAGGGGAGGGAAGGTGTGGAATCCCAGCAGAGGCTGCGGGAGGGGATTCCTTGCAGCAAAGCGCACCCTAGTGGTTGGTGAGCTTGCGAGCGGATCAGCCAAACGGGAGGAGGATTTGGCTCAAAAGTAACTCTATGGTGGACAAACCCCTTTTCCTTACAAAGCACTGTTCTTTATCTTTAACCAAATGAATAAGACTAAGCCTAATCCTAAAACTAGTCTCCTTTTCCCCAAAACACCAAAGTTGAGTTTTTATATTTATTCTAATGCATGCAGAGCAGTTACCAGTTATGTGACACTGAGTACGGGGTTGTTGCTATGTGCCGTCGAGTCGCCTGAGACACATAGTGACCCTATGTACAACAGCCCTAAACTGTGCTCTGTCCTGTGCCCATCTCACTCTCTCTGACACACCCACCCGCACTACTCCAGTCACTGAAAAAATTTACCTCATAGAGAGTCTTCCTCTCCTATGCTGTCCTTCCAACATCCTTCTCCAAGAACTGGTCGCTCCTTGCAACATGTCCAAAGTATGTCAGATGAAGCTTAAGAATCCTTGCCTCCAAGGAGCATCCTGGCTTCACTTTCTCCAGGATGAACCTGTTCATTCTCTTAGCAGCCCATGGTATATTCAATACTCCTTTCCAGCACCACAGCTCAAATACCTCAATCTCCTTCTATCCTCCCTAGTCACTGTCCAGCTCTCTGATGCATAGCAAGTAATGGCAAAGACCAACCATGGGCTGTATCAGGTGCACCTTAGTCGCCAGAGTGACACCATTGCTCTTCAGTACTCTGGAGAGGTCACTAACAGCAGACTTTCCCATCGTGATACATCTTTTAATTTCCTGGCTGCTGGTGCAAGAGTGTTGACTGTGAATACAGTGATGAAAAACTCAAAATGATTGAGGACAGAGCTGCACAGACAGTTACATGTTTGTTGTCAATAAGCCATGCACCTATAAAAAGCTGAACTGGCAAAAGTTGTGCGATGGATGTATTTTCACCAATGAAGAAAGAGCAGTTGTTGAGGCTGTTTATGTACGAGTATCTTATGGGATTTGCTTTCTTGGCTTGGAGGGTTAGGATCATGGGCACAGGTCATGGGGTACCCAGTTAACTGGACTAGTGGCTATTCTACACCTTAGGAAGCTCTGTGATCAGTCTCTGGGGAGATAAGCCTCTTGGGGAGCTCCAGAGGTGTCTATGAGAAGATGCTGGTTCAAATCCACAAGCGGCTCCAGTGGGCAAGGACAGGCAATCTTCTGAGCAATCTCCACCCTCCCAAAAACACTTGATGGAGGGTCAGTAACAAACCGGATTCAACTCAATGCCAGTGACTTAAATGATTCCAAGCTCACGGTGTAGTTTTGTTCATAGGGTCACTACGAGTCATCCTTGGCTTGACGGCAATCAACAACAACAATATGGCCTGAAATCTGTTCACATATCAAGGCAGAATGACTGCTTCCTATGTACTTGAGTCAACAGAGGAAGGAGAGCTGGAAATAGGAGGGGACGCGGAGTGTGGGGTTAACCGCTTCCATGAACAACTGCCTCTCTGGACATAAAGTGAACGGCGCCCAGTTATCAACACCAAACATTTAGATTAAACCTTGAATAAAAGACGTGCGACTCACGCCCAGTACAAAGCGCTTTCATTCTATTCCATAAAATGTTCTATGAACAATCTAGAAGCACAGACCCCACATTCTCTACCCTGAAGCAGATTCTAACTCACTGTTGAGTTGAAGGACAGAGGCGATCAGCCCCTGATGGTTTCCAAAGCTGAGAATGTGTATGGGAGTAGAAGGCCTCCTCGTTCTTCCTCTGAGTGGTGGGTGGGTTGGAACTTCCAACCTTTTAGTCAGTAGCCCAATGCTCAGCCCGCAACACTACCAAGCTTCCTCCAGAAGAACAGAAGTGTATACCAAATGGAGAGCTGTTGACAACACCCCAGAAATAAAGACCCAGGTGTGCGGAAAGGAGGTTGACCGGCCTGGTAGCCATCAGTCTGGGTGTTAGAGTAGATGTTAAGATGTTAAGCTGGGCTGGCTGCCAACCTCTCTCAGTCTAAGCCACCACACCAGCAGAGCTCCTCTGCCCTCAGATGGGGAAAACCATAGTTCAAGGTCATTATGAGCAACAGAGGCAGCTTCCTGTCAGGTTCAGGTAGTAGGTAACCCAATAGATGTTAGCTGTCTTTATGACAATTAGAATGAAGATGAATTAACCCTCAGTCCACTGGATGCAACTCTTCTGGTCATAACGGCAGTAAAGGAATTGAGAGCACACTGATGGAATCTGCTGGTGGGACCCAGTCAGGTTGGCTGCTCCCAACACCGAATAACTATGTCTCTTAAGAAAGGTCATCCTGTAACAAAGTCATTTGGTGTTTACAAACTGAGAGACCTACATCAGTAACATCTCAACCTAAAGAAACTTATTTTTCACCACGTAACTGGAATTTCTGATCGGAAGGAAGACTAAGAAAACTAGATACTTAGTGGGCACTTAGTCCAACGGCTGAGGGACCTCTTTTTAAGCCATGGACCGTTCTTTTAAAAGAAATCAGAGTTGTAAGCTCAAAAAGATAAAGATCCGTTAGCTTCAGTTGGCAGCCTAGGACTGTTTTGTTGTTTGATTTACTTTGGGAGAGAAAGGTTCACATTCTCAGCATGCCAGTCCCTGTAAACATCCGTTTGCTGACTGACAGACACAGGCTCACATATCTCTGCACCAAAGACGACTTCCGGAATATCGTTCCAGCCCGACAAGTCTTTACCATCAAGCAGAACAAGAAGGCTCTCTCTCTTCCCACATATTGCTGCAAATGTAATCATTACGTCTACTTTGACTGTGACAGTTTTTTCTTTTCTTTTTTTTAAACACAAGACAACATAAGGGCAAAGATATGAAAGGAACTTACGATAACTTCCTGAAAGGATTCCTTGTCATTGATTGTCTTGTCTTCTAGACATCCAGACTGATTCAAGTAGTGGTAGTTTTCTGGCATAGATAAATAAAACTCTTCTATAATGGGAAAAACAGAAAACATCACATTAAAACTCAGTAGCAGCACAGCTAAGATAAAATGCAAAGCATCCCCACTTTATAATTTTATACAAAAAATTCTATATGGTTTACTGTACTTAATTAAGGTAACAGTATTCCATTTTATTCATTCTCTAAAGATAACAGAAATAACTTAAAAATCAAACTAAATGGGTTAGAAAATATCACTGTACAAAAGCACCATCTCTGGCATGGATGTGGTTTTATTGTTTTCTTCTGAAAATCAAATATTTAGAAATTAGTTTCAAGTCAATTGTTGTTGTGTGCCATCAACTTGCAACCAACCCACAGCTTGCCCTCCAGCGAATTTTCAGAGGTAGTAAATTGCATGGGAGGAGACTGACCGTCCTTCCCCCAAGGAACAGCTGCTGGATTTGAATTGCATACGTTTGAGATTGTAAAGCAGCTTCTTAGCACTAGGCCACCAGAGCTCCCTTCAAGTTAATACCAGAATATATAATACAGTCACAACAAACTGGGAGCTCTGGTGGCCTGGTGGACAGAGAGTGGTGCTGCCAATCCAAAGGCAGTTGGTTTGAATCCACTAAATGCTCTGAGGGAGAGGGGCAATTTTCATTCCAAGACTTAAAGAGCAAACAAACACCTTGAGAATTCTCTGTGGGTGTTCTTCACACCTGGCTCTAAAATGAACTGAGTTAGGGAAAGGCAATACACAACAAGGGGTTGAACAGACGTAACTAATCACATTAATCGATGCTTTAATTTATTAAACAAAATGTCTAATCATTATGATTCGGAATGAAAAGCATGATTTGTAAGCCTTCACTCAAAAACTGAAAAAGAGAAAATGAATTGCTTGTCTTTTACTGGTGCTGTGTACTGCCAAGTCATAACCGACTCGCAGCTCACCCTCCAGTGGGTATTCACAGGCAGGAGGCTGCATGAAAAGAAGTCATCCTTCCTTCTCTCACTGAGCAGCTGGTGGGCTCGAACTGTGTGTCTGTAGGTTGGCAGCGCAGCTCCTTACCACTAAGCCACCAGTTTCTTTCAGTACTCTCATGGGATACTTTCCATTTCAGCTGGCAGATTTACCAGGCCCAGAAGATCTGCCTTTTCATAGAACTCAAAACAAACCAAAACAACCCTCAAACTCACTATTCCCACTGATGGTGACCCGTACTGCGTTTGTCCGGTTGGAAGTCCCAATGGGGAGAGATTGCCCACCTTTCTCCCACAGAGTGCAGCTGGAGGACTCTAACTGCTAGAGTCACAGAACCTTCATGGGGTTTGGTGACACTAAGTGTCACTCAGACGACCAGAGTTCACGGTGAGCCCAGGATGTCAACCTTGGCCTATCCTGTACCATTATCATGATGCTTACAATGCGTGGAATGGTGGTGGCCAGGACAAGACCCCAGAACTGATGGGATGCCCACTGAGGTGTTTCAGCAAACAGATGAGGCCTGGCGTGTGCTCAGCAGTCTACCGCTCACCAGGTGATGAGATGATTCACGCAGACCTCTGCCCGGGGCCCACTCACCTCTCTGTTCACTTCCTAGCCCTGCCAGCAGCGCGTAGAACATGTGATAATTCCTCTCCCCAGGGTTCTGCCTTACTACTCGGTTCTGTGAAGAGAAATCACACTTTCACTCAGAGATGCTGTATTGGTTTAACAGGTCATGTCTGAAAATGGTTCATATCGGAGGCAATGTGAATGAAATCATTCATACTTACTTTTTCTAATAAATCTTTATGTGAAAAGCAAAGGCAAGTCAAGGAATAAAACAAGGACACGAAGCAATCAATTTGTCTTTCATCCTCTAATTCTTGGTTACCCAAACCATCAAAATTGGGCTTCGGGCCTTCAACGCTGAGACCCTGGGCATCACAAGGCAGACCAATCACAGATGATTTTATCTGAAGTCAATTCTAAACATGATCCATCTTGGACCACATTCCTGGGCCAAAGAAACTGGTAGGATTTACTGCTATTCTGTCCTGCTCTTTGATCCAGGCTTTGGTGAGGAACCTACCCTTTCTGGACCACAGATGGGCTCTGCTAGACTTCTGAAAGAAAACATGTTCTTTATGTTGTGGGAAAACGTACACATCAAGCAAGTCCTACCAGAGTGACCACTATACAAAACCAGAGAAAGAACTGTTCCAGGCTCTTCCCCCAGCATGCTTCTAATCAGCAGGAACATTTCCCCCTCGTTTACTTATTGCCTTTTAGTCAGAAGAGGCTTGCAGCCAGCCCTCCGGCGGATTTTCGGAGGTGGTAATATCCCACGTGAGGAGCCGCAGGTGGGTCTGAACTGCCAGAGAGGGGCCTTCTGGGCGAGTCACACAACTCCCTCGTGGGGTAGACCCCCCAGGGCTTCCTAAATGCCATCAGCAGGGACCAGCTCAAACAGGATACAATCTACAATTCTCCCGCCCTGAATATTTCCCTTCTGGCATATGTGCAGCTGAATAAACTTCCCGAAGCGACTGGAGTTGCTGTTGTAGACGGTCTTGGCGTTGCCGAAAGCTTCCATGATGGGGCTGTGGAAGGCAAGGGGAGCACAGGGTGTTAGTGAGGGCAGATCGGAAAGCGGTGAGGGCTCTTTTTTACTGTTTGCATGGCAAAATAGATCACTGCAAGACACATCCAACACCGGTAAGACCTCGGGGAGACAACGTTTACTCTCCTCAAGGGCAGCGTTTCAAAAGATTTACTGGTGTGTTTTTTGTTTTTTAAAATTTTATTAATTTTAGTGAAAGTTTACAGAGACTTTGGATCTCCATTTATTCATTGTTGCACTTTTCTCCCTTCCACACCCTCCAATTCACTCTTCTCTTTGAAAAGTAAAAGAAAAATTCTTTTATTGTTATACAATCCCTCCCCCCAAGTCCACTCCACTATGCAGTGGAGTCCTTCGTTCTGGACTCCTGTCATGACAATAGTACCTAATCACATATCCCTTTTAAAAAGCTTTCTCCCTCATCTGTTTCAATGCTGTGTACATTATTTATCTCCTCTTTCTCAGTCTTCGCCCAACCCCAATGTCAGTCCCATGTGATGTGTGTTTATAGCTCACTGAATGAGGAGGACCTTCGAGCAAGCTGGTGAAGGATGCTCTGTAGACAAATGAGACCTGAGTGAATGAATGAGTGGCTCACCCCTGCACAGATTATCTTCCATGTTCACACACCAGGATTGACATGCAAAGACTACTCATTCAGACTCAAACGATGGTGAAGGTTCTCGCTCCAGAAATGCTATCAGTTCATTGGAGGCCTTTGGAACAAGCCGTGTAACACCGCTGGGTCTTCCACGATGGGAAGACAGAGTCAGACTAGATCAGAGGTTGGCAATAGTTTTATCAGTTGTTTGTGGCAAAGGACCAAAGAATAAATATGTTTTTGCTTGGTGGGCTGTACAGCCTCTGCCGAAACTCCTCAGCTCTGCCAGTGAAGTTTGCAAATAGCCATTAACAATGTGTAAACCAACTGGCACAGCTGTGGTGCAATCAAGCTTTATTTAAAACCAAAATGGGCTGCAATATTTGGGTCTCAAAAATCACTGTGGTTGAGCTGGTGCAGAGCCATGGCCACCTTCAATCAGGTGTCCGAGGCTGCAAATCTTTATGCGAGAAAACTGTCCTTCCAAGGAGCAGCCAGTGGATTCACACCACCGACCTTCTGACGAGCAGCCTGACGAGTTAACACACTCTGCCACTAGGGCTCAAGGCTCTAGTTTCGAAATTGGACTACTTTAGAAATGGTAAGATCACTTGAGCCTCTATAGCTTCTAAAATCTTAGAAGGCCCAAATTGGACAATGGGAAATCACACGTTTGAAAAGTAGTATTTGGATGAGACCTCACCACTGGATCACAGAGCCCTCACTCAACGTTCTGGGACTAGCTGCTCCTGACTGTCTCCTTGGTCATCTGCCACATGAAAGGTGACAGACACAAACAACCATCATCAGCTCCCTTCCCGTCGCAATGGTCTTTCCGTGGCTCAAGGGGCCGTGTGCAAAAGCCCTCTTGTATGTGCACAGCTGTCTACAGAGAGACTGCTTCCAACTGCAACGCTTCCACAGAGCCCAGCAACTTCATTCTTTTTCCATCAACTCCCATCAGGCCCTTCAGGACATGGGATGGAACTAAGCAGGAGGGAGGGTCCAGGCCGCCTGGAGGCAGCTCTTCACCTTCCACCCACACCTGCCCAACGAGCATCTCAGCCAGAGGGGAGCAAGTGACATGATTGGAAATGAACGTGTGTGTGTACGTTAAACCATAAAAGAAGCCAACTAATTGGATCTTTAAAATAAGCCAGACTACAGAGGCTGATGGTTCAGCAACGGAGAAGACAAGCCCCTGTGAGATGGCCTGACAGTGACTTCAGCCATGGACTCTATTGTGTCACAGAAGGTGAGGAAGGCACAGGACGGGGCAGGATTCAGGGTGGCTGTTCGCAGGGTCACTTGCTATGAGTCGTACTCAACTGGACGGCACCTAACAACATCAACATCAACATCAACAATAACAGAGAAGGCAAATCCTGCTGGTTGGAGAGAAGAAAAATGACTCAAGAAATACCTGCTTTCAAGAATGGCTTGCTCCACACTGGACGCCTTCTCCTTCAAGGACAACTCCAGCGACTGCTGGCTGATGGCCGACAGGAACTTGAGGATCAGCTTGGTGCTTTCGGTTTTACCTGCCCCACTTTCACCGCTGAAAGACAAAACACGGACGGGAAGCCTCTCAGTGGGATGACAAAACCCCACGGCACAGGAGTGTCACTCGGCTCCTCAAGGAGCGACAGCTCAAAGGTAAGAAAGGGGAGGCTGAAATGCTTCAAAGAATCGGGGCATTGAGGTGGGCCAAGTCCACCACACACTGCTTCTTCCCATGCCCATCACTGTTGTTTTTGTTACATGCCGTCAAGTCGCCTGAGACTTTCAGTGACCCTGTTGTATAATAGCTCTGAAGTCTACCTGACTCTGAGCCTGTCTCACTGACTCCGACACACTTACCCCTGTTACCCTAGTTATAATCAACACTCTTGGCAGCAGCAGTTAGGAAATCAAAAGATGAATTGTACTGGAAAAGACCTGCTGTCAGGGACCTCTCCAGAGTACTGAGAAGCAACGATGTCAGTCTAGAGACTAAGGTGCGCCTGATCCAGGCCATGGTCTCCGCAGTTACTTGCTAAGACTCAGAGAGCTGGACAATGAATAAAAATGACAGAGAAGGACTGATGCCCTTTAGTGTACCAGGTCAGAGAGGCGTTTAATGGGAGCCAAGTCCTGCAAGAAGAATCTCTGTTACCTTCGTGAATCCCAAGCAGACACACTGAATACTTGCCAATAGAATCAGCACAGTAAGAGTCCTTTTAGGGAGCTCTGGTGGCTTAGTGGCAAGAAGCTACACTGCAATTCCAGAAATACGCTGTTCGAATCCACTAGATGCTCTGCTGGAGAAGGAGGGGCAATCTCCCCTTGTACCAGTCAGATCCGATTTGACAGTGTACACACACACCACACACACACACACACACACACACACACGAGTCCCTTTGTGAGACATAAAAAATGGATAAATAAGACCAAATAAATCAGAGTCACACACTTCTCTGGTGGTTCGAATCCACTCTCAGCTCTATGGGACAGAGAATCTCCTTCCATGGGATTTATAGCCTGGAAATTAACTGGAGGGTCAGCTATGAGCCAGTCCAGGCCTGAGGGCAATGAGGGTTTTTAAAAATGATGCATTACTGCGGGGACAAAGACAGGCCACTGGAGTGACTCCATTTACCTGGAAGCACCCTGGCCTCCTGAGCGAACAAAAGCATCTGCACTAGAACAGTACTCTGCAAGTCCAGTTCCCTAAACCTCCAGGGCCTGGAACACTAACGAGAGGTCAAGAGGGTGTGAGTCAGGCCTTTGTTAGAACGCAGACACGAGACATGTCAGTGTAGCACTCAGAGTCCGGAATTCAGAGTAGTTGGGGTGCAGGTATACATTTGGGGAAATGATGCTGACTTAAAGGAGAAAATGCATGTCCCTCAGAAGAGCTGTTGTTAGGTGTCCACTGGCTGACAATGACCTCAGGAGACGAGGGCTTGCCACGTTGTAATCTTTATGGGCGCAGAGCACCAGGTTTATTTGCAGTAGATCCACTGATTGGGTTCAAACTTCCAACCTTTCACGTAGCAGCCAAGTGCTAACACAATGTGCCACCAGGGTGCCTTGGAAGAAGATGATGTGTAAATCAAACAAGAGGAGAATGCTCATCTTTCTTCCACAGAGCAGCTTGTGGATTTGAACCACATGCCTTCAGGTTGGCATGATGGCTTCTTACCACTCAGCCACCAGATCTATTAGGGAAAGAGGAGGTAGAAACGACCAATAGGGTAAGGAGCACCCTGGGAGGCTGCGATCTTAGGTGTGGCCTCTGAAGCATGCACCATGGACTGAGATGCTGCCCTGTGCCGCCCTCATGGTCTCCATTCTACATAGTCCACTGCTGCAGGCACCGGGTCAGCCCACGAGATCCAGTCTCCTGTTTACTGACCGTCTGCTTTTCCAAGCACAAAGTCCTTTCCTAGGTACTGGTTCCTCCTCAGGGCATGTCCAAAGTACACGAGGCAAAGCCTCACTATCTTCACGTCTCTCTTTTTTGTAAAAACACACACACACACACACACACACACACACACACACACACACTCTTTCTTGCTTAATCATTTCGTATAATCTTCAATTCTGAGGAGCATTCTGCATGTATTTTTTTAAGAAACAAGCTTAAGTATGTTTACAGAAAAACATCCAGCACACAGGAAAATAAAATTCTCAATGTACACAATTCATTAAACAATTACCAGACATTCACAGAAATGAAAAATAAAACCCATGAAGAAGCGAGCTCGAGTGGCCTAGTGGCAAGAAGCTGCACTGCAATCTGAGAGGTGAGCGGTTCAAACACACCAGATGCTTTGCTGCAGAAGGAGGGACAATCTCCTCCTGTATCAGTCAAACCTGATTTGACGGTACACACACACAAATAATAAAAATAAAATAAATTTAAAAAAACCATGAAGAAGGAAAAAGTAAAAAAAAATTGATACAGAAATGACAGATGACATTTATCATAGAATTCATAGAAAAAGATGGTGAACTGTACTTTAGTCCACATAGTCAAGAGAATAGAGAAAGAATGTTAAGTTGAAAAATAAAAGATTAATACATCTTCTAGAAATTAAAACTGAAATATTTTTCAACAAAGACACAACATGGGATTAATAGCAAATTAAGAAAGGCATGATGAAAGGTTAATGAGTTTAAAGACAATAATAGTAATAAGGATGATGATGATGGATGCTCTTCTTATAAAGTGGGTATGTTTGTTCTTCAGTTTTTCTCACTCACTGTCCACCTTTCACGTGTTTATGCTATTGCAGTTAAGTGCCGTCAGGTTGAGTACGACTCACAGGGACCCTGTAAACAGCAGGTCTGAACTCTGTTCTATACTGTTCCGTCCTCAGCATATGAGACACAGTTTCAATACATCTTGTTAGGGTTCTTCCTCTCCTTTGACTCTCCACCTTTCCAAGCATGATGGCCCTTTTCAAGGAATGACCTCTCCTAAGGTGTCCAAAATACGTGAGATAAGGCTTCGCCATTTTTGGCTTCAAGGAACATTCTGGTTACACTTTCTTCAAGACACACCTCTTTGTTCTTCAGAAAAGCTTCACTTTGGGTTAGCAGCACAGTGCGGATGGACCACACCATTGGAGTTCGCTACTTATACATAACTCCAGCTCAAACCAAGGCCCCTGCGGTGGATTAGATTCCAGACTTCAGCTAAGGAAGGGGTAGGACATGAGAGCTGCAGCACACAGTCCCCAAGGCTGTGCTCTTCCAGGAGCAGCTGGTGAGCTTGACCTTTTGGTTAGTAGCTTCATCCACTGTGCTACCAGGGCTTACTTCTCTCTTTCTCCACACACCAAACTCATTGTCTTTGAGAGGACTCTGAGTCACGGTTTCCAAATGACTACCTTTCTCCCATGGAGAGGTGGTAGAGTCAAACCACTGATCTTTTGGGTAACAGCTGAACCCTTAACCCACGATGCTTCCAGAGCTCTTTCTTTTCTACATGTACCATGTACACACACACACACACACACACACACACACACACACACACAGATTTCTTTCAGGGAAATGACTCCTGTAATTGTGGAGGACAATAAACTTGAAATCTGTAGGCTGGGGAAAAAAAAAAGTTTTCAGCACTCTTCTTCGATATCACAACTCCAAGGCATCAGTAATTCTTATGTTATCCTTGTTCACTGTCCAGCTCTCAGATGCAGCAGGTGACTAGAAAGACTGTGGCTTTGAAGCAGGCACACCCTAGTCTTCAAACTGACATCCATTCTCTTCAGGACTTTGGGGAAGTCCCTGACAGTAGACTTTCCTAACTGTATGTCTCTCAATTTCTTGTCTGCTGGTACCTAGGGTGTGGATTGCAACCATTTCAATCTTTTCTCCATCTATCATGATGTTGCCTACAGGCCCAGTGGTGAGGATTTTTGTCTTCATGATGTTGGGATGTAATACATACTGAAGGCTGTAGTCATTGATCCTCTGCAGCAAGTGCCTCAAGTTCTCTTTGCTTTCAGCAAGCGACGTTGTGTTATACGCCTAATGCAGGCTGTCAATGAGCCTTCCTCCAATCCTGATGCCATGCTCTTCTTCTAAAGTCAGCAGTGCTAATTCTTTTATAATTTGTGTATGTATATGCTTGCTTGTTCCCATGTGTATGTTATTGTCGTTGGTAGGTGCCACTGAGTACGACTGATAGTGACCCTGTGAACAAAAGATCTGAACTCTCTTCTATCCTGTGCCATCCTCACACTTCCTGACATACAAGAGCCCACTGCAGCAGTCACCATGTCAATCTACCTGGTTGAGAGGCTTCCTCTCCTTCGCCGACCCTCCACCCTTCCCAACATCATGTATGTCCCTCTCCAAGGAACAGCACCTCCTAGCAACATGCCCAAAGTATATGTTGTTGTTGATTGCCGTCAAGTCGAGCACGACTCATAGTGACCCTATGAACAAAAGACCTGAAGACTTTCTAGAACTATCGTCGTGTCTCAAAGTTCATAGAGTTTCCAGAAGCATGTTGTTAGGAAGTGGATTCCACTCTGGTTCCCAATGTATATCAGGCACCTGGAAATACCACAGGTGGGGTCAGGCACATAGTCTTCAAAGTGATATCCGTGCTCTTTAGCACATTAAAGCAAGGTCCAGAGAGACAGGAAGCTGTCTATTTTTAGAAATAAGTTTACATCTAAGAACACAGTTGGACCCACTCCTCCAGGCATTTACCCATCACCAGGGCCAGGTCGGGCAGCTGTGACAGAGGCGGTCGTAAAGATAACAGAATTACTGACGCCTTTGAAGTGTGGTGCTGGAGAAGACTGCTGACTAGCCCGTGGACTGACAAGAGAGGAGACAGGTATGTCTTGCGGAAAACGGAGCCTAGGAAGAGTGCTCTGGGAAGCAGGGCTGGTGAACGCGGGCGTCACACATTCTGGGCACACTGCCTGTTGTTAGGTGTCACTGAGGCGAGTGCAACTCCTAGCGACTGTATGAACAACACCTGCGAACCCTGTCCTGTCCCGTGCCATCCTCACAGCCTCACAATCTCTCTTTCTCTCTCTCTTG